AGGTATACACCGGGGCACTGGTGTAAGGATCTAATGCTTCATGTTCTCATTGTTTGTGATGATGAGGGAGCTAAGGAGGGAGCTTGGAGTGAAGCATTAGTAGATGAGGAGGTAGTTGCATCTAGATATGGCAGAGGTATCCCTAAATTTAGTGGTGAGAATCATACCATAAAAGTGAAAGCTTAAATAACAAATAAGGAGGTGATGGTGTTGATAACAGTGGAGCTAACCACAATTTCACTTTTTACTAGGTTGTAGTAGACTGATTGGGGTTAAAATTGGTGGACACAGGGTATTATGGAGTGATGATGGGCACTAGAAAGGTGGAGACTGGTAGAGGAGTGTGTAGGGGAGTAGTTTTGATCATACAAAAGGTTCAGGTGAGGGATGACTTTTTTCCATTAGAGTTGGGGAGCACTGATGTCTTCCTTGGGATGAAATTGCTATAACCTTGGTGGATACTAGAGTTAAGTGGGGAGCATTGATGGTGGAGCTAGTGGTAGAGTGAAGAAGCATAATGATTTGGGGTGATGTAGGGTTATCCAAAGTCATGATGTCACTCAAAACTATGGTGAGGACCATATAGGAGGCGGGAGGAGGATTTCTGTTGAAGCTATAGAACTTAGAGGGGATCCGATTAGAGGAGGGTGGAGACATTCCTCCTTCAATACAGCCGCTTATACAACAACTCAATGAGGTCTTTTAGCCACCTCAAGGATTACCACCATCAAGGGAGTAGGAGCAAGCCATTAACTTGAGGTAGGGGATGTCACCGATTATTGTCAGGCCTTATCACTACCCTCAGATTCAGAAAGATGAGATTGAGAAACTGATTTTAGAGATGTTAGTGGTAGGATCATAAGGTCGAGTTTGAGTCCTTTTTTTACCCAATCTTACTGGTCAAGAAAAAGGATAAGAGCTGGAGATTCTGTGTGGACTATTGAGCCCTAAATAAGGAGATTACATCGGACAGGTTTTTCATTTCGGTGATAGATGAGCTGTGTGGAGCAGGGGTATTCACAAAGATGAATCTAAAGTCTGGATATCATCAGAGTAGAACGAGAGAGGAGATGTTCCAAAGACCGCGTTCGGGACTCATCAAGGATACTACGAGCTGTTGGTGATGCTATTTGGCCTCATTAATGCCTATGCTACCTTCCAGTCCCTCATAAACAAGGTGTTTCGACCATTCCTCATGAGGTTTGTATTGATTTTCTTTGATGATATCCTAGTGTACCTTAGGTTTGATGAGGAGCATTTGGGGCACTTGAGGGTGGCCTTGAAAGTATACAGGAGCACCAACTGAGGGCTAACCTGAAGAAGTGTTGTTTTGCATAAGCCAGTGTGAAGTACTTTGGACACCTGGTATCTTTTCATAAGACCAAAATTGAGGCAATGTTGAAATGACCTTTATATAGGAATTTGAGGGAGCTGAGGGGGTTCTTAGTGGTTATAGGATACTATAGGAGATTTCTGAGAGAATACAAAACTATAGCTTGGCCATTTACATAGCAGCTGAGGAAGGATAACTTCTTGTGGGTAGAGGCAGCTACCTAGGCATTTGAGAGATTGAAGAAGATCATGACCACGGTATCGGTCCTACCCCTACTAGATTTTAGTCAGATTTTCATGGTAGAGACTAACACATCAGTGTATGGAAGGGGGTGTCCTAGCCCTACTAGATTTCAGCCATATTCCACATCTCTTGCACGAGTTTCATGGGAGTGTTATTGGTAGTCATTCTAATGTGCAGAAGACATAAAAGAGATTGGTAGCTGAAATGTATTTGAAGGAGATGCACAAAAATGCGGAAGAATGGTTGTTAGATGTGAGGATGCCAATAGAACAAGTACATGACCATAACTCCAAGGGGTTTATTTCAATCCCTAGCTCTACCAGACAAGGGTGTGGGAGGAGGTCACCATGGACTTTATAGATGGGTTACCCTGATTTGAGTGGTTTATAGTGATTCTAGTGGACGTTGATAGATTGAGAAAGTATGCTCATTTCATTCCCCTCTCCTACACAATAGTGATAGTGACAACATCATTCATTAGAGAGTTGGTCAGGCTTCATGTAATACTAGAGTCTATAGTGTCCAGCCGAGATAAGGTGTTTTCAGTCACTTTTGGAAGATGTTGTTCAGGCTATAGGAGACTGTACTGAAGAGGAGCACCACTTATCATCCTCTGACAGATTGGTAGGCGGAGGGTGATTAACAGGAACTTGGAGATCTACTTGCGATGTTTTGCTTTAGAGACACTTCGGTTGTAGGCCAAGTGGTTATCATGGGCAGAGTATTGGTATAACACTTCTTATCATTTGACTTCTCAAATAAATCCTTTTAAAGTGTTGTCCACTTGGTGCATTTTGAGCAGAATAGCACACAAGTTTTTTCAATGGAACAGTTCTTGGAGGAGAGGGATAGGGTGCTGGATGAATTAAAAAGGCACTTGTTGAGGGCTCAGCGGATCAAGAAGAAGCAGACAGATGGACATAGGAAGGACATCTAGTTTGAGATGGGGATAGGATATATTTGAAGCTTCATTCTTATAGACAAAGGACGTCTGCTGATAGGAGAAATGAGAAGTTGACACCGTGATACTTTGGCCCTTATGAGATATTGGAAAGGATCGAAGCTGTGGCTTACTGATTGAGGTTATCCCCGACCACTACCATACAGTCAATGTTCCACATGTCATAGTTGAGGAGAGCTATTTGGGATCATGCAACTAATTCAGAGCTACACTGACCGAGGACTTGGAAGTGTGTTGGAACCCATGGAGCTGAAAGGGGTACGAAATGGAGATGGCATGCTCAAGGAAGTGTTGATAAAGTGGAATACCCTACTCGACTATGATGCCACATGGGAGTTGTACGAGAGAGTGAAGCATCAGTTCCTATCCCTCCACCTTGAGGACAGGGTGGGCCTTTTGTAGGGAGGTATTGATAAACCGATCACTGGACCGGTCTTGCTAGTCCATTATGGACTGGCTCTATTTATCGGAGGTGGAATAGAAGTTCTTCCCCATAAGTTCTGCCCCCTCTGTGTGGAGTCCAACAATCAACAATTAAGAAGAGATTAATTTTGTTTAGGTGGGAAAATTTAGTGGGGCTGCTTAAGGATTTCCTTAATTTTAGAATGCTTTTAGTGGGATATTTTTTCTAGAGTTAGGTTTTTATTGTTTTGCTGAATTGAGATTTTTCTTAGGTTTGTTTGGGCTCTATTCAAGGGATTGGGAGAGCCGGATCTTTCACTCGAATTGAAGATCCATTGTATCTTATTTCTTTTCTTCCATCTTTCATCAATTCAAAGGTTTCTCAAATGTTTGCCACAAAATCCTTCTCAACTACTATTTCACTTTATTGAAATACCAATTTCAGCTAAGTTTTCCTCTCTACTAGTGTTTCCTATCAGATCATAAACATTGCCATCATATGTTCTTCTTATTAGGGGTGTCAATTCGGGTCAACTCGTCGGGTTTGGGTCGAACCCGACCCGACCTAGATCTAAACGGGTCAACCCGAACCCGACGCGTTTTTGCAAACGGGTCGAACATTTCAACCCGGACCCGACCCGACGTCAGAGACACTGCCCTATTTGCCACCATTCCAATCATCTTCAGCAACAAGATTTTCAACCCATTATAGCTGAATCCTTTTCTTCTTTATTATCATCACAACCCGCAAGCAGTTATCTCCTTATCTCCTTATTCATCTATTGGACTAAATCATTTAAGTTGTTTTGGCCTTGATCTCAAATCTGAAATCTATCAACTTCTTCCTTAGCATTCAAGTTTTCATCGCTCCTCAAGGCCTATTGCTCAGCCATGAAAGGCATGCCATCGACATCCTTAACGAATTAGGTATGGCATCTTGTAATCCTCTTCTCAATCCATCTCCTTTTAAAACTCCATTCACCGAAGGTCCATTTGATAACCCCACCTTTTATAGGCATCTAACCAATTTTCTATAATACCCTTACCATCATCCATCCCGAACTACTCCTTTCCGTGAGTTTATGTCAACATATACATTACCCTCTCTGATGTCATTTTCAACTATTCAAAAGGTTACTTTGTACATTCAAGGTATGCTTCACTACAGTGTACCCAATTCACAAGGTTGATCTTACTCTTCTATCCTAATTTGATTCAGATTTGAACGGCAATTCACATGATGGAAATCAACTACTGGTTACTGCTCTTAGTTTGAAAACATTCTTGCCATATGGCGTGTCAAGAAACAAAGCATAATTTGCCCTATCATCTATTAAAGTTGAATACTGCGCCTTAGCCACCACGGCAACTAATATTATTTTTCTCTGTTGGCTCCTCGAAGAATCACATTCCTATGGATCAGCCTCACAACTTCATTGTATTAATATTTTTGCATTATCCTTGGCCAACAACCTGATATTCCATTACCGTACAAAGTACAGCAAAGGCGATTGCTGCTTCATCCGAGAACATATTGCAGCCAACGAATTCAATATTCTCCGCATCAGCTCGCACAATTGAGTCGCCGACATATTATCAAATGTTTTCCCATTAAATGATTTCAGATGCTATGTGACAAGTTGACAATCCAACCTCAGATTATCAACTCAAGGGGAGGTAATAACAGACTCACGAGATCTAGCAATACTCAAGGAAATGGATCAGCCACTACCTCTGCCGCGATGATCATAGCCGCACCATTATGAAAACCTTTGTGATCTTCGTCGTTCAAGTATAACAGCATTTGCAATGCCAATGATTATTCACTTAATTTGTTGCATATAAAATGGCTATAGCCTATACTCCGTAATATAGAAATTGTATTTGTTCTTGTGCATTCTGTTTTTCATCATCTATATCTTCATTCTAAATAAGTGAAACAAAATTCATTAGCTCTTTTCGCACGCGCTCACAGAGAATGTCTTAGTTGACTGAGATGCTGAATGCTTTTTATGTTTTCTAATTCCACCAGTTTCTCAATTTGATTTTGGCTTTTTGTAGTCACGTTCTGTTCGGGACTTTGATAACCATGCCACATGCCTAGTTGGAAAATTTGAGGTATTATTATCTAATTTTCCATCTGATTACATATATATATATATATATATATGTATATATATTGAGATTTTGACATTTGTGATACCAAATTGGTGTATATTTTTTATTTGAGACTGTGGATACATACTACCGCCGTTGTAGTAGTGTTAGCTACGTAGGGAACGTATCAGTTCCATTGCTCTGCATAAGTGCTTTGGATGATCCCGTATGTACCAAGGAAGCGATTCCTTGGGATGAGTGCAGGTATAGCTAAATCCTTCCTGTTGCGAAATGTTTTTTTCCATTTTTTGCGGAATATTTCATCTAATTTATTCAGAGGCTATTGAATTCACAGAGCAAACAAGAATATTATTCTGGCAACAACAGTCCATGGAGGTCATCTTGGATATTTTGAAGGGATAACTGCAAGCAGCGTATGGTACGGCTCCTAAAAATCCACATATTTTTAAAGACATGTTTCCATCGTACACGGTTTAGTTTTTTCCTTTTCTTCTATGCCCTTTTACGAGTGTCATTAAAGACTAATTTGGCCAAGAATAATGGCAAAAAATAAATAAATAATAATAAGCTCTGAAAGGTCTTTATAGAAAATATATTTAGTTAATTCTATCCTTGCAGTTAATTCGCCTAGTAAGAGGAATAATGGATATTCTCCTGTATCCGAGTAAGAGGAATAATGGTTGCATGTACACTTGAAATGGCACTAAAGTTGCATTTCTAGTAAAATAATTACCAATCAGTTGAGTATTTTCTTTATTTGCAGGTGGGCAAGAGCTGTCGATGAGTTTCTCTCTGTTCTGCATTCTGGCCCGTATATGCATGGACAGAAGGTGTGTTATCTCTATCCTGAACGTGTAATTGGATCATATTTCAAAATTTCTGTGATGCAATCTGTGAAAACTGAATACGCTGCAGATGGAGAGCCCTGATCTATATACTCCACTGGATTCTTCCATTGATAAAAGCCCATATATAAATTTGACAAAAGATGGATTAGTTACTGCAATGAGAAGTAGAACAGAAGATGAAGACATTGCTGGTGAAAATGATGAGCAGGGAGACATTGAAGCAGAAGCTGTAAGTGGAGCCATTGATATCACAGCCAGTGGAGCCATTGATACTCCTTCATTAATGTCTTTGCGTCCGGGTCAGACGGAAGACGAAAATGCAGGTGTCCGAACTCCCAAAGATGCTTCTGCCACATCAATGAAGACATGCCTCAAGCAGCTTTCAAGGCAAAGCCAAAAATCATTGTGGTTACTTGCTTACATAGCCATCGTCTCATCGTGGCCCCTGGTTGGCTCTGCTCTTCTTTTTGTATTTAGGAGTAAGCTGAAGGGCGTTTTGCCCCATTCAGTACGCAGAGGATAAATGATACGAAAAGTAGATATCGTATGCACTAAAAACTGGTGGTTCTCGTTTCACAAATGAATATAGAATAAACAAATATATCAGCTGGGGTATTAGATGATTTCCTTTCTCTTCCTCTGCAAATCACATGCCGTTGTAATATATAAAAAGGCAGCATTGTTGTGAAACTCGAATGCAAAGTATTGCTTCTAAAATATAAATTTACTGGTGGCTTCATCATATAGTTTATTCTAATTAATACATCTCTAACTATGTATAACAAGTTGCTAAATTTTTATGACTCAAGTTTGTCTACGCACATATTTAATAGATAACTTGACATGACATGATAGGAACATGAACTCGTCTAGACTACAAAATTGATAAGTCGAAATAATCAGTAGATGGTAGGATTAATCATGAGAATTTGCATCTTTTTTTTTATTTTATGAGTTTGAGCTATTTATGTTATGGATTTCATATTTTTATATTTTTCTTTGTTAGTAATTATTGTATTATGTTTAAGTCATGTTCAATGTAGCAAGGGTCTGCAATGCTAGAGTGTGAATGTTTAGTTAGTCGTCAATTGAGGCCCAAGCATGGAGTAGGGGGTCGTCTCCTCTCCTTTATTTTTTTTTTTCTTGTTTTATGTTTGAATGAAGAGGTGTCGTTTCATTAGAATTTAATTGTATAAGAATTTCATTGGAGAGAATAATTTAATGGTGCTTACACATTTGTAGAGAATTCGAAAGAGCTATAAGGTTTGGTGGTTGATAATTCCAATGAGGTTAGCGATTATTTTTTTGGATTTACTGTTTTGGTGAGCAGATTTTAATTTTATGTATATATTTACTGCAGGTTCCTCCTAGTGTTCTAGTAGGGGTAATCCATCATAAAAATTTATTATAAGGCCTAGCCAAGAAATTCATATTTGTTGGACAAGTCTTGTTATTTGACCAATCAAAATTTCAGTAAATTTCACCAAAATCTCTTGATCAATAGCCCACATTCCATACTTCAATAATCTTAAATTTATTTGGGGATGTTCTAGTTAAACTTTTTGGAGAGCAAATTAGGTTTAATTCTCAATTCTTTGTGTTATAAATAATACTTCATTAAAAAAATATTAAAATAATTTTTTCATAAAAAATGAAAACATTCGGAACATATCTAGTAAGTTTCATTAATTATTTTCAATTGAAATTATTGAATTTCACTCATTCCACAAGAAATTATAGTCATATTCATAATATTTGTTTGTTCTGGATAGAACTAATCTATGTCTTATAATCTAAACCTCTCTAATTTTTACCAATCTTTCTAAAATTTAAACTAAGGCAACATAACCTTTAAATTAACTCCAAGTTTGTAGAGAGAGAATAAACTGGTAGAAGTTGGATTCAAAACTCTTGATAGATTAAAGAGCTTGTGATCTAGCTCTAAATTTTATTCTCCTTCAATGTAACTCCTTTATAAAATTGATCATTAGTCTTCTAATTATAATTCTTACCTGGGTTTAGATGGAAGAGATGCTAAAGGCTATGTATTATCCTATAAATCATGACAAGAAATTAGATGAACAATTGATGACTCTTAGACAAGGCAATATGCGGGTGGTCAAGTAAATGAACTTATTTGAAGATTTGATTGCTAGGATGAATTACATGAATCAGGAATGGAAATTAGCTAACAAATTCACTATTATCTTAGGAGTGTGATTAGATATGATGTTGAGTTACAGGACTCAAATCCTAGATGATGCTTTCATTATGCTTTACTACTCTTAGAGAAGCATATGAAGGCATCTTCTTCATCTAAAACTAGAGGTCCAAACTCATCATTTAAATCATCCTCACATTTTATAGAAATGTTTATTGCTAGACTTACATCTTTTTCATCAAGTGCTTAACATAGTAGGAATATACTTGAGACATCCTCTATGATTAAGGATAATATATTTTATATATCACAAGAAAGGGCATATGCAGCATTAGTGCAAGTCCAAAATAATGTACCTATAGGAGGTTCAAGAAGAAATAGATGAAGAAAAAGTAAAGGATAAGGTGTAAGAAATTCATGATGATTCTTCTCTATCTGATGAAGAAGTTGAATATATGGGAGACCTTTTAGGTGTAATGATATGATGACTCGCATATGGAGATAGAAAAATATTAGAGAAGGAGAAATATTTTTTTCATGCATGTAATTTACAAGGAGAAGAGGTGCAAAATGGTTATATATGTGGGTAGTCTAATGAGCTCATATTAACTCATGCCATTACTATAGAAAGCCATAAGATTGTGCCCCACCTAGAACCTTTTCATGCTAGCTAAGTAAACCATACATCTCTACATATCACAACTAGGTGTTTATTACTAATCAAAATAGGAAGATATGTTGATCATATATTGCGTGTTATCCTACCTTTGAAAATAAATCATATATTATTAGAAAGCATTGATTGTATGACCTAAATGTCATTCATTATGATAGAGAGAACACTTATATTTTTAACTTCAATGATAAGACAATTAAGTTATTTTCAGTAAAGTCTAGTAAAACAATATCAATATCACCACTACATAGGATATTTCCAACTCCTTTAAATGATTTAGCACACAAGTGGCCAACAAATCATTTGCATAAGAACCCACACCTCCTCATAAGCCTAATAATTCTAAGCTACAACCCAAGTCTAGCTAGAAGACGATTATTAAACTTGTACTTATGATAATTTTATCCCTTATTTTTTGGGAGGATACCTCTAACATAGAATTATTGAGCCAAACTCTTGCACTTCTACCCATAGACATTATAACAATAAAGATATGATTTAACACTATGTTAAAGGAGTTTTTTGAACATGCATCATATTATTTTCTTCAAGTGAGGGAAGTTTTTCCAAAACCCTTTGAATATCATATACCTCCCCTCTTATCTAAATTTTAGGATTTATATCCTTAGTACCTACTTGATGGTTTACCACCCTAAAGGGACATATAACATACTATAGTCTTTCTTCCTAGTTCATAATTACCTTATCTTACCCATTATAGGATGAACCAGAGCATGTTGAACCCAAAAGACAAGTAGATGAATTTCTTACGAAAAGATTTATCTAAGAGAGCTACAGTCCTTGCATAATTCCAGCCCTACTTACAGCTAAAAAGGATAACACTTAACAAATGTGTATAGATAGTATATGTACCAGAAACATTATAATTAAGTAAAGATTTCCAATACCTAGATTAGATGATATGTTATATGTTTTTGCAATTGCCACTTATTTCTTAGCGATATAGGTAAAACGTGGATATCATTAGAATAGAATCAAACTAGGAGATGAATAGAAGGCTACTTTCAAAACTCCTAATGGTTTATACGAATGGTTAGTCAATCCTTTCAGATTATCCAAAGCTCCTAGTACATTCATGAGACATATGAATACAATTCTAAAGCCATTTATAGGGACATTTGTTGTGGTTTATTTTTTCGACATTTTGATCTTTAGTTCTAAAGAAAAATATCATTTAGGCCACTTGAGATTAGTCTTGTTCAAGTTAAGAGAAGATAAAATTTATGTCAATTTAAATAAATATTACTTCTACTTGTTTGAAGTTACTTTTCTAGGTTTCATAGCAAATACAGATGGCTGGAAAGCTGTCTCAGCCAAGATTCAAGCTATCCTAGATTAGCTTGTTGCAAAGAGTATCACTAATATCCATAGTTTTCATGGCTTATATATCTTTAATTAAACATTTATTAGAAATTTTAGCATAAGTGTTGCTCCTATCATTTATATAAAGGAAAGAAATTATGCATCCCCATGACTTATTTAGGACTTCTCTCCATGGAGTTATATTCAAGAGTTATTATCGGACCTGTTAGTATGATGAAAACTATTAATCTCAAATCAAGATTTTATTGCCTTATCTAAAGAGAAATGTTGAGAGATTTGTAACTTAGTGCTTTATTAATAGAAAGTTAAGGCTATAAAGCAAAAACTAGGACATTATTATGCCTTACATGTTCCTTTTAGGCCATGATAAGACCTTTCTATGGATTTAATCATAGGTTTACCTAAGACTCCTTGAGGCCATAATGTTTTTTGTTGTAGTTGACAGTTTCTATAAATTGACCCATTTCTTATCCTATTTAAAATCTAATGATGTTTCACATCTATTAAGATTATGCTTTATGGAGATTATTAGACTCCATGGAATTCCTTTTACAATTATTTCTAATAGAGATGTCAAATTTGTGTCTTATTTATGAAAAATATTAAGGAAGTTAATGTGAACAAAAATTTTTTTTTTTTTCAATCTTTAACCCCTAAACTAATAGTCAAACTGAGCTAGTCGATTGATCTTTAGGAAACCTCATCAGAACTTTGGTGGGTAAGAGCTTAGGCAATTAGGACCTTCACTTACCTACAATCGAGAGCCTAAAATAGTTCCATTTCTAGAGACACCAATTAAACATCATTTATAATAATTTATGGGAAGTATCTTAAAAAACCAGTTGATCTTGCTAACAACCCCACACATGTTCTTTTTGATTTTCTATTTATATTTGCACATGATTTTTAAAGCCTTCACGATAATGTAAATATTAATTTAGAAATTACAAATGAAAAAGGTGTTGAATCAAAAAATAAAAATAAAACTTTTAAAGAGTTCAACATTGGGGGTTGTGTGTTGATAAAACAAGTCATGAGAGATATACTTCCACTCAATTTTGAAAATTACAATCTAAAGACATTTGTGATAATTAAGAAAATTAGCATGAATGCATAGGCTAATAAGTTACTAAAAGGCATAATTATCAACCAAAATTTTAATGTGGAAGATCTTATGTCATATGAAGGAGATAGCCAACCTCTTAATGAAATTCAGGAGCCCGACTATTAAATTTTATGATTATAAATATTATTGGATGGTCATTTACTTATTCCTACTTTATATATTACATGCTTTTCTTATGTGCCACAAAAAATTTCAAATACATCATAGACCAAATAGAATTGAAGAATTAAGACTCAAGATAGTGTAGTATAAGGGTCCAAGTCTATCTATGTTTGATAGATTCTATTCTTTTCTACTTTCTTTAGTTATTTTATGTATTAATTGTATGTTGGCATGATAACTGAGAATACACTTACAAGGGAGGATAAATATTAAATACTTGAAATTTTTTATTAATTATACTGTATGACACAAATCATACTTTAAGATTTGTTCAA